ATATGGAGCATGTCCTCATATGCTGCACTTTTTGGTTCCAAGAGGAAGATACATTGATCAGGGTTATCGTTTATTTCGATGATGAGTCAAATGCGATAAGGTTCTTCGTAAGGCAGGACTAGATTCTTAAGGGTTTATAATATTGAGGTAAGAATAAGGTTACGATTGCTATTCTGATAGTTTCGATACATTTTATCCGGACCTGTTTCTTTCTTTCTATTGTTTATCGTCTCCCTACGGCGCTCTTCAGTTCTAGGTATAGTCTCGCTTTCTGTTGGGAACGTATTGCTTGGCGGTGTTAGCTTCGGTACAGTTCCAATGGCGGCGCAGGGTTTCAAATAATTCAACTGTGGTGGCAAAGACCATTTTGCACGTGAGTGCCCTTCGAGCCGTTCGACTGCTGCGCCTAGGGATGGAAATGGCATTAATAATGCTACTACACCGGCGCGCTATTGGACGCCCCAACAAAACTATAATGAGGATGCTGAGGAGAAGGAGTTCTTACGTCAGCTCATCGAAGAAAAGAGGGACGAACAAGCGGTGAATTGGGAGTTCGAGGAGGAAAGGAAGATGGATGAGATGATTAGATCGGAGATCGAGAGGAACTCGGAAGCGGTAGAAGCGAGGGTCATGTCCAAAATTGGGCGACAGTTTCAGGAAGCTCAGGAGGAGGCGAGGAGAGATGAAGTGAGGGTCACTTATACACCAGTACTAGTTTACAAAGATACGGGGGTCAAGGAGTATGTGGATAAAGGGTTGGAAGAGATCGAGGATGAGATTGCAAAACTGTATGAATTGCGGGAGAAGAAACCGAAGGGTAAGATCCCATTAGAGGAAGGGATGCAGAAGCCTTTTAGACAACCAAATTTCCAACGTGAAGCAACTGATCATTTTGAAACAAGGGAATCGTCTCACATGGGTGAAGAGCGATCACGTATCAAGGTATGTGCTGGCAATGGTCCCGAGGGTGTACTGGCGTTCGTTCAAGCACAGTGCCGGATTCTTACCTAGAAGACCAAGGATCAGTTGAAACATGTCTGCTGAACTGAAGGGATAACTTACACAACCAAAGGCCCCACTATCGACCGGATCATTGAAGCCATGACGAAACTTGCTTATGAAGGTTTTATCTCCGTTCCCTCTCCTTCACCAGCGGTAAGTCAGGAAGACGAAAGGACGCCATGCAAATGATTCTTTGATTGTTTCCGATGACAGTTGTGGGCAAATTTGATTGTTTACCTGCCTCTACGTTGCTCGGCTTGGTTGTCAGGTGCCTCTGTGCGTATGTGGTCGTCGTATGATGTTTGTGCTACTTTGCTTAGTGTCGCGCTCTCCCTTTTGGATGAGATCCGCTGGGTTGGTAAGTTTAAGTCGCTTCTGTTGTCAATTGACTGGGATGCCTGGAGGACTGGCTCGGTGATGTATCCACTTACGTCACCCTGGTACAAAGCTCAATACATAGGATGTTCGAAGAGAGGTATTTTTATCAGATGGGGTGAGCATGTGCGTACTGTACGGACTAGGGGTACGGGTGTAGGTCCGCAACTTTACAAATGGTTGTCGTCTTTTGGCGTCTATCATTATATACCTTTGTCGTTGGTTAACGGGGTATTATCGGTGGATAAAGCTGAGAAACTTTTGATTAGAAATTCCTCGCCTTTGCTTAACTATCGACGGGTATTGGGATAGGCTAGACCTTTTAGTAGACCCTGCCGTACCAAGAGGGTGGGCTTGGAACTACGACCGATTGTTTTCTCTGTTTTGAAGTTTCGAGTGCATGATGGCGAGTGGACAAATAGTTTGATTAATATGTTGAGAAGGAC